GGGGCGGGGCGGGGCTGCGCATTCTGGCGGATCAAAGCAAGTTCGATATAACGTGGTTTCACCTATAACGCGGTAAGATTTTTTGTCTCCCAAGGACAGTGTTATATCGGGGTAGAGGTGTGTGTACAAGTGGAAGCTCTGCCTTTTCACAAGGTTCCTTTAAATATGAAATGTGCAAGGGAAAACATGCATGGTTTCCAGAAGTCCAATATATTGGAAAAACTGGTAGGTGTGAGCTAAATAATTGATTTTGATTCTGGTATTAAGCTCAACTTTCCCTTCTTTGCTTAGAGGGCATCTTTCTTGCTCAGTAATAGGCCCAAGTAGCATTTAGAAAACAAAAGAAAATCAATTGCCAAAAAACAAAACAAAAAACAAAACTAACTGCAGATCCAGAAAAGATTGCAGTATTTAATTATTTTAATTGGTTCTGTATTACCAGTATGAATTATACAGTTGCTATAGTCTCTGGCTTTAATTTCATGAGGACAAATTACCACAATGTTTTCATGTATATTCATAAATCATGACTAAGACTAAGGTTTAGTCATGGGTATTTTTAGTAAAAGTTATGGACAGGTCACGGGCAATAAACAAAAAGTCATGGCCCCGTGACCTGTCCATGACTTTTACTAAAAATACCTGTGACTAAATCTTACCTGCTGGGAGGGGGGGCGCTCCTGAAGACTGCTGCAGGGGGGGGCGGGAGGGGGCAGTGCAGGACGATGCTTCTGCTGGGGGGGGGGGGGGGGCCGGGCCCCCCCCCCCCCGCTACCGCTGGAGGTTGGGTGGCCCGGGGCTCTGCTGCTGCTGGGGAGTGGAGGGGCGGCCTGGGGCCCTGCCACCGCCGGTCTGGTTCGGGGTCGGCCTGTGGCCCTGCTACCGCTAGTCCGTGTGGGAGGTGGCCTGGGGCCCCACAGCCCCGCCACTGCTGGTCCAGGCAGGGGGCAGCCTGGGGTCCCACTGGTCCTGGCAGGGGGCGGTCTGGGGTCCCACCGCCACCGGTCCCGGACAGCTGCTCCAGGGCAGTGCCAGGGACCAGCTGCCTGGGGCTGCCAGAGCAGCAGCCGGTGCGGCTGGCCCTAGGGCTTCCCAAGGTGCTGGGGTGGTCCTGGGGTCAGCAGCACCAGCAGGCTGCAGAAGTCACGGAGGTCCCAGAAAGTCACGGAATCTGTGACTTCCGTGACCTCCATGACAGACTCACAGCCTTAATCATGACTTACATTCAATAAATTATGCCAATGAATATAATTAATCCAGCCCCAACAAGCCCTGAAAAACTCATTGTTACATATTTCCCATTTCTGTTCCAGAAAGAGGATGGTCTTCAGTTTAATTCTTTTTTCTACCGTTCTATAATTTTAAAAATCAATACAAGTTGAGGGCCTAATTCCATTAGGTGCTGGGCATCCTTATCTCCTCATAACTACAGTGGGAATTGAGGGGAATCTGCCCTTCACAGGAGGTTCTCCGCACCTCATAGCACTGGGCCTTTTGTTAGCCAGCCCTCCCTCTCCAAAAAAGTCTGGTCTTTTCTTATCAGAGTAAGCACTGCCCTTTCAGATCCCAGAGCATGTTCTTCAGATAATACAGCATTTTGCAGGCCCAGTGGGTGTAGCAATGCTGAGAAGAGACCCCAAGCCCATCTGTAAACAAACGAGTTCCATTTCATTTTAAAGGCTATTGTGCTCAGAGCAGGATTTAGACAAAATGTCTGTATTCTGCCTGTGCTAGTGCTCCCACTGTTGATTCCACTGGTGAAGGTACAGGTGCCCAGTAGGGAGATATCTTTTACTCATAGGTTTTATGGTCCCCCTGTTATCAGAGAGGACCAGCATGTTGTAAAAAAGTTAATAAATTGAGGGACCTCTGGATAGGAGATTATTCTCTGCTAAAGGGCTTGCAGTATCGAGTCTCTGGGCTCACATTAGCTGTGCCAGCAGTGACAGATCCACCTCCAGAGACAGAGAGAGAGAGAGAGAGAGAGAGAGAGAGCAGAAAACAGAAAACAAAACAAAAAAGGAAAGGAAGAGAAAGGTCAGTGTAACTCTTCTGCAGGGAGAGGGAACAGTCTGAGTTCCTCACCTGCCAGTACTGGAGCAGGCCCAGAGCAAGCTGGGGCTGAACAGAGAGAGAGCAGAGAAGGCTTGAAGAAGGGTGGTGAGAGCAGGAAAAGCTCCAGCATAGAGAAGAGGTGACAAGGGCAAAAAGAGGGAGAACCCAGAAAAATAAACTCTGCAGCATGGAGCCCTAGAGAGAGCCCATGGAGAGCTGCAGGAGGGAGCTCTAGAAACAGAAAAGGGGGGGGCCAGTTCTACAGGGACAGAGAGACAGATCAAACTACCTTAAAGGACAGAAGCAGCATACATAGAGTCTGAAGCACAATAAAGACAATGGAGCTAATGGCTCCCATAACAACTTCAGATGCTGTAACTGCTGATAAATCAGTGCGGCCAAAATGGATACGCCATTTTGAGCAGTTTCATGTGGCATCAGAATGTGTAAACAAGAAAAGGGCCATGACAGACAGGGTTACGGAGTTGCCAATTCCCCGATTGTGACAGTGCTGAAAGTGGTGAAAAAGAATCCAGAAAAAGGAAAAATCCACAGCAGATTGGACAACAGAGCTGCCAATGGCTGATCGTGGCAGTATTGAAAAAAAGTAAAAAAGAGCCAGAGAAAGTGATGCTCATGACAGTCAGGACTGTGGAGCAGCAGATATTGGCATGTGGTGCTGGTCAGAATGAAGTTTCTGCTCCTCTGCTGCCACATCCTACTGAGGAGCAGTTCAATGAAGATCATAGACCACTACTGGATTAATCAGCAAGTTTAACAGATAACTGCTTAAATGTAGGAACTTTGATGCCAGCCATACTACAGAGGAACCCCAGAAAATAGTGAATTTAGGGATTCTCACAGTTAGGCATCTACTCATGATGGAAGATACCACTTGGGCTGCTTCCAGCCGACAATTTTTTATAATAAGTACTGAGATGTCCACTATACAGCGCTATTTTGAAATTCATCAAGAGGAAGGGATGGGGATCTCGCATATGGCTGTTGCTGGCGTGGGAATCTGGTTAGCCTGTATGTCTGGATCTACACTCCACATATTCCACAATGAAACAATCATCTCCAGGACATTAACATTGTCATATTCCTCTATACAATATGTCATCAGGACAGCAATGTGTTTCTGTGACTGTTTTACTGTGCCATGGATCATGTTATTTGGAACAAATCTGGGCATTTCAGTAGCACTACCAGTTCCTTGTTAGCAGAGAATTCCAAGATGAACTGGAAGGGACTGATATCCATTTATGAACATAATGGCTAAGTTAAATTCCTTATAATGGCTACAACTATAAGCAACAAAAACAAATCTAGAAACAGTCTGCCCTCTCATTCAGGATCTAAAGATGATGACCAAAAACTGTCCTGCACAATGAAAGACCAAGTTCCCCTAAGTAATACTCATGGCAATGCAATTGGGCTAGGAGTTTCCACAGGGGTCCATTACGCAAAGAAGGAACTTGTTTACATCATTTGGGTCTCTAACATTGTCTCATGGAACAAATTCCCAGAACACAGGTGTCACAGGGTGAGCTGGCCCTTTAAGGGGATTGGGGATTCAGCCTCATCTGTGGCAGGTGTAGCTTGCCTCCCCAGCTGGAGGGAATGAGAGAGCACAGGGGTCATGTAACTAGGAATCAGGTCTGCTGTGAGATAGGACAGTGGTCATTCAGGGAGAACGGAGCTGGAAGTGATTGTACCATTAAAGAGCAAGCAGCGAGCCAGGGAGGAGGCCAGTCTAAATATACAGGAAGAGGTCTGGGAAAGGAAAGACAGCTACAGGGCTCAGCTGCTTGAAGTCTCAGGGCCAGAAACCCATAGCAAAGGATTGGCATGGATTCCCCTCATGCAGCTGCCTTGTGAGGTGGTACAGCCATCCCTGCCAACAATGGCACCTCCTGCACCCCAACCCACCCCCCAAGCTAGAGCCTGCAACCCGCAACCAAACTCCCTCCCAGAGCCCGCACCCTGAACACCCTCCCGCACCCCAACCTCCTGGCTCAGCCTGGTGAAAGTGAGTGAGGGTGGGGGAGAGTGAGTGACAGAGAGAGGGGGGATGGAGTGAGCAGGGGGTGGGGCCTAGGAGAAGGGGTGGGACAGGGGCGGGGCAAGAGTTTTTGGGTTTGCGCGATTAGACAGTTGGCAACCCTACCGAGCAGCAGGCATATGGAAGCCCTGGTTGTGCTGGAAGAGCTCGCTGGGCACCAGCAGCATAGATGCAGCACCGCCCAAATGTCAGGTGGACTGCATCTGCGCAGAAGTGGCTTGTGCGTGCGTGGAGGCCCATTGACTGTTCTGGGGCCTGGAACTGCTGTCAGCGGGCCTGCCTGAGGACAGTATCATTTGAGCTTTTAAAAGATCAAAACATCTAAGAAAATATCTAAGAAAATCAAATGCAAAGATAATCAAAACTCATTTAGTTCTTGGTCTTCAAATAGTCAGTAAAGTAAGGGATTTCTGGGTAGAGGTCATCCCCTAGTTTGCCGCTGAAGGACTTGGGTTCAGATCCTCAAAAGGTATTTGTGCGTCTAACTCCCATTGAAATTAATAGGAGTTAGGCTTCTAAATACCATTGAGGATATGAGCCCAGGGGTGTCTTTCCGCTTACACTACACTTTAGGAGATCTTCCAGAATAATAATAATAAATAATAATAATGAATAATAATATAAAAAGGCAAGTATAGGCAAGGCATTGATCCTGGAGAAAGTGCAGAGACCTTGGCTGAACACCAGGGCAGAAGTGTAAATAAAAAACCCTAAGCATTGCTGCTTTTCTGTCCTCAAAAGAGGATAAACTGTAACTCAGCCTTAGGGCCTGTCGAATGTTACTCCAGCATGTCAACATTTGGCAAGGCCGTCATCTTTCCAACTGCAACAAAATATGTAAAGAAAGAACTTTTGATAGTTTTTAAGGCAATTCTTATACCTGAGAAAGTCTGGTGCTTTGGAAATCATATTTTCAAAGTCTGCAAATGCTAGTTTCCCATCACCATCCATATCAGCTTCTTCTATCACCTTCTCACAAACTAGAGTGATTTCTTCTGCTGTTAGCTCTTCTCGTGTCAGCTTGTTGAGGGTTTTTTCAAGGTCAGATTTACAAATGAAGTTATCTGTGTTAAAATCTAAACAAGAATAGGAAGAAAGAAAAGAAGATTGTCAATACCTCTCTCCAGATTAATTTACTCTAACAAAATGTGTACAAAAGAAAACAGTTTAAGCAAATGTTTACGTCTGTCTTCAACCCAGCATATGATTGCTCTCTTTAAATATATCAGAGGGATAAATACCAGGGAGGGAGAGGAATTATTTCAGCTCAGTACTAATGTGGACACGAGAACAAATGGATATAAACTGGCCGTCGGGAAGTTTAGGCTTGAAATTAGACGAAGGTTTCTAACCATCAGAGGGGTGAAGTTCTGGAACAGCCTTCCGAGGGAAACAGTGGGGGCGAAAGACCTCCCTGGCTTTAAGATTAAGCTTGATAAGTTTATGGAGGGGATGGTTTGATGGGATAACGTGATTTTAGTCAATAGGTCAATAACGTGCCATCGCTGGTAATTAGTAACAATGGTCAATGATGGGATATTAAAAGTTACTACAGAGAACTTTTTCCGGAGGGTCTGGCTGGAGAATCTTGCCCGCATGCTCGGGGTTCAGCTGATCGCCATATTTGGGGTCGGGAAGGAATTTTCCTCCATGGTAGATTGGCAGAGGCCCTGGAGGTTTTTCGCCTTCCTCTGCAGCATGGGGCAGGGGTCGCTTGCTGGAGGATTCTCTGCGACTTGAAGTCTTTAAATCATGATTTGGGGACTTCAACAGCTGAGTCAAGGGAGAGAATTATTCCAGGAGTGGGTGGGTCAGCTTTCGTGGCCTGCATCATGCGGGAGGTCAGACTAGATGATCATAATGGTCCCTTCTGACCTTAAAGTCTATGAGTCTATGAACTTGGGGCCAATTTCTCTCACAACAGGTAACTCCCATTTATTTCAACAGGACTTGATTCTGTACGGTACAAGCAAGCACTAGGCCAGCATTCAGAAGATGCTGTACTTGACCAAATATGGAGCATTTCCATCTAACTCAAATCCAAAGCTCTTGGTCAACATCTGGATTCTCCCAAAGACATCTGACCCAGTTTCTGTGGCAAGTGACAGCCTGTATATCTGTTTAGTAGAGCTTATATTCTCTGTGGGTCAACCATTATCAGGCAACGTAATCACATCCATACTTGTAGACTGATCCTGCAATATGTGAACTTCCAGAGGAGATCATGGCATGGAGCAATTTACAGAATCAAGGCCTTATCAAGAACACAGTAGTCTGCTTCCCCATCCATATAACAAATACTTGGGAGGATCAATTAAAGTTTAGAAAGTGCTTTGAAAACAAAGCACTCTATCTGCGGAGTACTATTTTTAGTGTTACCATTCAGTCCGGGTTTCTGCTAACATTGATGTTTTGAGACACCAACCACAGAAGTGATGGGGGAAATAGTAAATTATTGTACTGCTCCATCTAACATACAAACAGCTAATAAGTTGCCAATAAATCTCCATGTAGCACTTCCATGGTCACATGAACTCAGAACCTAATTGTCCACTGAGTAGCAATATTCCAAGCCTGATGGAACTGTCAGATTTGCAGCCTTGTATGCCTCAAGATTTAGTAGGTTATCTGGCAAGAAAATGTACACATCGCAGGTTTGGTTCCTGCTTGCTTTTCTATGATGGGCTATAGCCAAGTGGTTGCCTCTCTCTGCTCTCACTAAAGGAAACCCTACACAGGCAAAGGTGGCGAATTATATGGGCCCATGGTGCCCGTGCTCCATCAATATTTAGGAACGTGGGCCCGGCTTCACCAATGTTTAGGCTTACCGCGCTTTGGAGGGCCCTGCGCTTCAGCAGGACGCAGGGTCCAGGGCGGCCTGGGGAGTTAGCGGGGGGCCTATCGCTGACAGCAGTGAGTGACCCGGCCCCAGCCCACCCTGCTCTGCCCGCCCTGCTGGCTCCCGGCATCACTCGGGGGAGGGGGCGGAAGCCGGAAAGAGGCGGGGAGACCTTCTTAGTAAGTGAGATTCCAGGAGGGGAGACCTTGCTTTGAACTTGGAAAGGTGTGATCCATTTCAAAGACAGGGCAAGCTGAGGCAGTAATTTTGTACTGACAGGGGGGATTGGAGATATGCTGTCTTGTCCACCTTTGCATCTACCTTTTTTCACTTGTGCTCAATCCTTTTCGGCTGGACCCCAGGATCTAGCCACTAATCTCTAGCTAATAAAGAACTTTCAACCTTTTGATTATTATAGAAATTAGCAGTTTGTTGCCTGAGCTCTGTTATTACTGCTTTGCAAACATCCTGGAAAGCACATGAAGCGGATTTCTCCCAGGAAATTGTTGTGCAAAGATGCAACAACAAGAATATTTTCTACAAAATGTTGCCTAAGTGCTAATATAAAAAGATTTGATTCATGTTTTCAGAACCATTAGTGCTTCATTTAGCATTCTTCCATGTGTCTAAAATTAGAAACACAAAATGAGAATTGCGTATGAGCATCATAATGATCAGCTGTGGACTTGTACAGATAATCATCAGATGTGCAAAGATAATCTAAACAGACCAGAAGAAAAAAGCAAGAGAAAAATTCAGATACTATCTTTGTGTGAACATCATGCTCTCCGATGGTCTTCTGGTTTCTAGAATTTAATTGATATTGGAAGTCTGAAACAATCTTATTTACCATCTTTGCTGTTGTCACAATGACATACCACAAGATCTTTTGACATTTCAGTGGACTAAATAATACAGTATATCTAGAGGGGAAGATCCCTGAATTACACTAAGGTCATCTCTAATACCAAAACATCTCTTCCTAGGGTTTGATCCTACATGTGCTTAACTTCAAGAATGTAAGTAGTTCCGGGGGTTTTAAAGTTAGTGCATGTTTGCTGATTGGCTCAGCAAATGATGATGATGATGCTCAGCACCTTGCAAAACTAAGCCATTTTGCTTTTTGGTTAAGCACAGAGCTAACAGTGAACATCTCTCCTAGGTAGACAGTTAATCTGAATTAATGGAGCCATTTATCTACAGCATCCCCACACATTACCATAGATCTTAAAGGCATAGATTGCTTTGAGCTCTCTGGGAGCCATTTCACTGAGCACAGAGAACATGTCCACGAAGTCATTGAAGCTGAGGTTCCCGTCTCCATCCTCTGAGAAAGCCTCCACAATCCTCTCCTTGAAGGGGTTCTCCTGCATAAAACACATAGGCTTATTTTTAGAACCTGGGACTTCACAAAAGCAGCAAGCACAGCAGTCACACAGTGCAGCCTCCAGACTCCCCCCTGCAAACTGCAGCCTGGGAGGTAAAATAGGCTGGTGTGGAGAACAGGATGGGGGCAGGTCAGGTAAACAGCCACACAGATACACTGATCTGGATGCCAAATCCTGCTTACCTTACTCATGAAAGTTGTCCCAGTGAAATCAATGGAGCTACTTGTGTGAATCAGGCAAGGAAAATTTGGCCCTGGATGAATTAACTAAAATAATAGGGAATTGTAAAGACTGCATGCAACTTGTTTAGTTTTTAAAATCTAGATACAGTAAAAGCTGTGTTATCCAGCACTTTATCAGCCAGAAAGCTCTATTAACCAGCATTTCTAATATCTCCCAATACAAATCTTCAATCTAGTAACCGGGACTACTATACTGCCCAGGAGGTTATGCAATTGCACATTCTGCTCTCTACTTTTATGCAAAAGAGGCAGAAGACAAGTAAGCAAGCTGATATCGGGGATTTATTAAAAAAAGCTGCTTCCAGGGTGTGTCATAGGCGTAGGTGCTGGAACTACAGCATCCCCTGGCTTGAAGTGGTTTCCATTATATACAGGGGTTAACATTTGATTCAGTGGCTCTCAGCACTCCCACTATAAAAATTGTTCAAGCACTCCTGGTCATATGGTCATTACAGATTCAGCCCAGTCTCCTACACCTTCTACATCTACTATGATAATTGATGTTGATAATAATGACCCTGAGGCACTGGAAGATCCTGAAGTGCCTTCTGAATCATCAAAGAAAGATTAAATTATGTTCAATATAGTTTTAGTGTTAAGTGCATTTTTAGTGATCTGGGTGTACGCCATGTGCTGCCCATAGTAATATGTACTGTCATAAGATAACCCCATAGAAAACTTTACCTGTATACACACCTAAGTGCTTCAAGAAACCAACCACTCTGCAGTGCAGTATTACTACTGGATTGGTGAGTACCTGTATACTATTTTATACTTTATTCATTTTATTGTATTCTAGTTCTTTGAAGATTGATATTCCATTAGTAAGTATAACTCTTAGTAAACCGGAATTTTTAACTAGCTCACACCCCCCGTCTCCCCAACACGCTGGATAACAAAGCTTTTACTGTATAACAAAAACCTGACACTGTAGTAGATACTAAAACACTTCTATAATATCACTCCCATGCCTACCACCATGTGTCAGCTGGTCATTGTTGACTTAAGAGTCAATGTCACTCCCAGAAGTATGGCTTTTTATAGGGGGTAATTTCAAAACTGACTCTGACTTTGAAATCGTGCTGCTCAGTGTGTGGGTCACAGTCAAATGAATGACCTTATCTTTCAGTAAGATAAGGTAATTCTACACTACACTACCACTTATGTCTTAGGTCTACACTACCACTTAGGTCTACACTACCACTTAGGTCAGCAAAACTTATGTCACTCATGGGTGTGGAAAAAAAAAACAACAACCCAGCCCCTTGGGCGACATAGTTTCACTGGCATAAGTGGTAATGTGCACAGCTCTATGTCAGTGGGAGAGCATCTCCCACCAGCAAAGCTACTGCCACTCGTTGTGGTAGTTTTATTATATTGACGGGAGAGCTCTCTCCCGTTGGCATAGAGTGGCTACATGAGCAATATTACAATGGCGCAGCTGCATCAGTACAGCTGTGCCGCTGTAAGCTCACTAATGTAGGTATGGCCTTGGTATCTCTGTGGTCAAAGAACTTTGAAGTTTGCCAACTCAGGCATTTTAGTGTATATATATTGCTGAGTATATATTTCCAAACAAATCACATGAATATATTTATGTATCTTTAAGTGGAAAATGAAAGTGACCAAGATGGGCTGTATCATTAAAAAAATATATCGTATTGCCTCTAAGTTCCAGGCAGCAAATGAATTTAACAGAAAGTCTACAAGGAAAAATATGAATCCATGCCACCCTTTTTATTCAAAAAAGAAACAGAATCAAAGAAGTGTAGGGCTGGAAGGAACCTCAAAAAGTCATTGAGTCCAGCCCCGGCACTGAGGCAGGACCAAGTAACCCTAGACCATCTGTGACAGGTGTTTGTACAACCTGTTCTTAAAAACCTCTAATGACGGAGATTCCGCAACCTCCCTACAAAGCTGTTTCCAGAGTTTAACTACCCTTATACTTAGAAAGCTTTTTCTAATATCTAGTGTAAATCTCCCTTGCTGCAGATTAAGTCCATTACTTCTTGTCTTACCTTTAGTCAACATGGAGAACAATTGATCACAGTTCTCCTTTAATATATGTGAAGAATGTTATCAGTAGGGCCCTACCAAACTCACGGCCATGAAAAATGCATCATCAGCCATGAAATCTGGTCTCCCACTGTGAAATCTGGTCTTTTGTGTGCTTTTACCCTATATTATACAGATTTCACGGGAGAGACCAGCATTTCTCAAATTGGGAGTCCTAGCCCAAAAGGGAGTTGCAGGAGGGTCGCAAGGTTATTTTGGTGGAGGGGGAGTGCAGTATTGCCACCCTTACTTCTGCACTGCCTTCAGAGCTGGGTGGCTGGAGAGTGGCGGCTGGTGGCTGGAGAGCGGTGGCTAGTGGCCAGGCACCCAGCTCCGAAGGCGGCGCCCCACCAGCAGCAGCGCAGAAGTAAGGGTGGCAATACCATACCATGCCAGCCTTACTTCTGCGCTGCTGCTGGCAGCGGCGCTGCCTTCAGAGCTGAGCAGCAGCTGCTGGCCGGGAGCCCTGCTCTGAAGGAAGGGTAGCAGTACCGCAACCCCCCTACAATAACCTTGTAACCCTCCCACAACTCCTTTTTGGGTCAGGACCCCTATAATTACAACACTGTGAAATTTCAGATTTAAATAGCTGAAATCATGACATTTACAATTTTTAAAATCCTATGACCATGAAATTGACCAAAATTGACAGTGAATTTGGTAGGACCCTAGTTATCAGGTCCCCCCTCAATCTTCTTTTCTTAAGACTAAACACATTTGGTTTTTTAACTTTTCCTCATAGCTCAGGTTTTCTAAACCTTTGATCATTTTTCGTTGCTCTCCTCTGGACTCTAATTTGTCCACATCTTTTCTAAAGCATTGTGCCCAGAATTGGACACAATACTCAAATTGAGTGCCAAATGCCAAGTGGAATTGGACAATTACCCCCCATGTCTTACATACAACACTCCTGTTAATACACCCCAGAATGATATTAGCCTGTTTTGCAACTGCATCATATTGAACTAACACTATACGTTTTACAAGAAAATAAACAGTACATTTTGGAAATCAAATATATATATATAAAAAGGGACACTCCGGATTGGTAAACTTGAATTACAGCCTACTTCTTTGTTATGAACTTGCACAGATTTTTGTAGAATCCATGTGGTCCAAAAAGGACTGTGGTATTGTACAGTCATGGCTGGGCCAAATATACTACTGGCACCATACTTCCATAGTACCCTATTTCTTTAGGAACAATTAATTATATGATGTATCTGGTTTTCATACCCTTTTTTCCTAAGCCAAACAGAAAATACAATGCCAGCAGCAGCCCTACCTTCCTAAATCACTCTACACCCCCAGCTCAGTGCTTCTATACAATGGAGCGAAACCAAATATGGGGAAAAAGACAGAATGACATGAGTCATGACAAATGGCAAATAAAAATTAGTAACACATTAGGGAAGAGATCTTGTGTGTCATTTTAAAAAACTCAGAGACATTATTTGAATGGTAACCATCGTTCTGTTGACGTTGCTCTCCTGCCAATACCGAATCACTATGCATTCCTACGGCAATGAGTTTAAGTAATCCCAGCGGCCTTCAAAGGAAAACTGCAGGCACACGATTGTGGCATTCTGCTGTAAATGATGGATTCCCACTTTATATGAAGTTGACTGCATCTGAAGAAGTGGGTTTTTTACCCACAAAAGCTTATGCCCAAATAATCTGTTAGCCCTGGTCTACACTACAAGGTTAGGTCGATTTTATAAGCAATGCGGCTACACATCCAACCCCATTCCGTCGACCTAAGGGCTCTTAAAATCGACTGCTGTATTCCTCTCCGACGAGGGGAGTAGTGCTAAAATCGACCTTGCTAGGTTGAATTTGGGGTAGTGCAGATGCAATTCAACGGTATTGGCCTCCGGGAGCTATCTCAGAGTGCTCCAATGTGATCGCTCTGGACAGCACTTTCAACTCCAATGCACTAGCCAGGTACACAGGAAAAACACCGGGAAATTTTGAATTTCATTTCCTGTTTGGTCAGCATGGCGAGCTCAGCAGCACAGGTGACCATGCAGTCCCAGAATCGCAAACGAGCTCCAGCATGGACTGAATGGGAGACACTGGATCTGATTGCTGTATGAGGAGAAGAATCTGTGCTGGCCGAACTCTGATCAAAAAGAAGAAATGCTAACATATATGCCAAAATTGCACAGGGCATGGTGGAGAGAGGCTACAACAGGGACACACAGCAGTGCCACGTGAAAGTTAAGGAGCTCAGGCAAGCCTACCAAAAGACAAAGGAGACAAACGGTCACTCTGGGTCAGAGCCCCATACATGCCACTTATATGATCAACTGCATGGCATTCTAGGGGGGGACCCTACCACTACCCACCACTGTCTGTGGACACCTGCAAAGGAGGAGTCTCACGCAACAGGGAGGATGATTTTGTGGAGGAGGAGGAGAATGTGCAGCAGGCAAGCGGAGAATCCGTTCTCCCTGGCAGCCAGGACCTTTTCATCATCCTGGAGCCAAATGCCCTCCCAAGGCGGGTTCCCAGACCCTGAACCCAGAGAAGGCACTTCTGGTGAGTGCACATTTGTAACTACACTACGGGTTTAAAAGCAATTGTGTTTAATGTCTGATTTTCCTTGAAGACTTGGGATGCATTTGCGGCCAGTACAGCTACTGGAAAAGTCTGTTAACGTCTCTGGGGATGGAGCGGGAA